AAATCATGCTGCTATAAAGACACATGCACACGTATGTTTATTGCAGCACTATTCACAATAGCAAAGACTTGGAACCAACCCAAATGTTCTTCAATGCAGACTGGATTAAGAAAATGTGGCACATATATACCATGGACTACTATGCAGCCATAAAAAAGGATGAGTTCATGTCCTTTGTAGGGACATGGATGCAGCTGGGAACCATCATTCTCAGCCAACTATCACAAGAACAGAAAACCAAACACCGCATGTTCTCACTCATAGGTGGGAATTGAACCATGAGACCACTTGTACACAGGAAGGGGAACATCACACACTGGGGCCTGTCATGGGGTGGGGGAGGAGGGAGGGATAGCATTAGGAGATATACCTAATGTAAATGATGAGTTAATGGGTGCAGCACACCAACATGGCACACGTATACATATGAACACACCTGCACGTTGTGCACATTTACCCTAGAACTTAAAGTATAATAAAAAATAATTTAAAAAAAAAAAAAAGCATGATATGGCTAGGCATGGTGGCTCACACCTGTAATCCCATAACTTTGGGAGGCCAAGGTGAGAAGACTGCTTGAGGCCAGGAGTTTGAGACCAGCCTGGGTAACAGCAAGACCCCATCTCTACAAAAAATAAAAAATATTAGCCAGGCATGGTGGTATATGCCTATAGTCCTAGTTACTAGGAAGGCTGAGGCAAAAGAATCGCTTGAGCCCAGGATTTTGAGGCTGCAATGAGCTATGATCACTGCATTCCAGCCTTGACCACAGAGTGAGACCTTGTCTCCAAAAATAATAAAAATGAGTAAAGGCCTGAAGACAGTAACCATATGATATATGAATGAATACTGTAGAGCGAATGAACAGGAGGTACAAAGGCTCTCAGTTCAAGGAACAGTCAGGAGCCCTTGTGGCTGAAGTAGAGTGAGCATGGAGGAAGAAGAGGTGACCAGAGAAGTAGTGGATGTGGGGGAAGGGGAGACCAAGGAGGCTTCTAGGCCATTGTGATAAGTGGCTTTCCCCTCAAGTGAGACAGGAAGTCACTGGAAGACTTCTGAGATAGGTGACAGGTAATTATTAACTATAAAAGCTGGAAGGAGCATCTTAAGGTCTTGTTTTTTTGTTTGTTTGTTTTGGGTTTTTGTTTTTGTTTTTTTTTGAGACGGTGTCTTACTCTGTCACCCAGGCTGGAGTGCAACGGTATGATCTCGGCTCACTGCAACCTCTACCCCCTGGAATCAAGCAATTCTCCTGCCTCAGCCTCCCAAGTAGCTGGGATTACACGTGCGCACCACATAATGCCTGGCTAATTTTTTTGTATTTTTAGTACAGATGGGGTTTTGCCATGTTGGCCAGGCTAGTCTTGAACTGCAGACCTCAAGTGATCTGCCTGCCTTGGCCTCCCAAAGTGCTGGGATTACAGGCGTGAGCCACTGCACCTGGTCCATCTTAAGGTTTTCTACATACATGTAGATGTGTTTATTTTTGTACGAACTCTATGGGAAGGATTCTATAATTTCCCAGATTCTATTATGTTCATAACTATTTCAAAGGTTTAACAGTTGCAACTTAAACATTTCAAATGACAATACAAATTCCTCCCTCAAACAGAAATGGAAATGTCCCTTTAAAAGACTGATAATGGTGAAACACTTCTCACCATTCTACAGGTAAAAAGTATAGTCTAGCCAGCCAATGACACCGAAGATTTGGGGAAGCAATGTTTTTGATCCCTGGCCCCAGCCCACTCTTCCATCCAGCTAATCCTTTAGGGCCCTACAGTGCCTTCCCTAGAGCTCTGGGCCTTCAGTGATGCCTCCTCTCTGATCTCTTCAAAGATAGAAATTTCTGTCATGCTCACATGCTGGCTTCCTATGAAGGTTCGTATGAATTACCATCTGTTCTAACAAACTACTGTTAAATTGTATTTTACATAAAAGTTAAATCTAATTTTATTTCTTCTAAGGAAGCTGAACTAACTTTTTTTTTTTTTTTTTTTTTTTTTTTGAGATGGAGTCTTGCTCTGTCGCCCAGGCTGGAGTGCAGTGGCCGGATCTCAGCTCACTGCAAGCTCCGCCTCCCGGGTTCACGCCATTCTCCGGCCTCAGCCTCCCGAGTAGCTGGGACTACAGGCGCCCGCCACCTCGCCCGGCTAGTTTTTTGTATTTCTTAATAGAGACGGGGTTTCACCGTGTTAGCCAGGATAGTCTCGATCTCCTGACCTCGTGATCCGCCCGTCTCGGCCTCCCAAAGTGCTGGGATTACAGGCTTGAGCCACCGCGCCCGGCCTGAACTAACTTTTGACCAGAAAGGGGAGAGACAGAGTGACTATATCACTCATTATATAATTAAGGGTGAAGGGTAAGAGTAAAAACAATCAGAACTCTTCCAGAAGCATTTAGAACCAGTAACGAAGGGACAGCAAAATAAAAGAGTTGCTGACTTACACCGGGTACCACCGTGGGATGCTCTCGTGCCTCTGCGTCTGGTACATCAAATGCCCGGAGCACTTCAGGGCTCTTGTTGCCAGTCTGAAATCTCAAGTCAACATCTCTCTCTCTCAAAATCTCTCTTCTACCCTCATATGTTTTAGCATAAGGGCCTTGCTCAATGGGGCCAGTGTGGCCCCTATAATAGAACTCTGCATCACCTGCCCCACCATCAGGTCTGTAATCAATTTCCTCCTGCCGTCTTCTATCCCGTGGCCGAAGTGCCTGGGGAGGTTCTCTCTCAGGACCGCCTACATGTCTCAGCACATGAACTGATTTGCCAGCACCATAGCAGAAACTCTGTAAGGAAAAGAAATACATTTTCCTGAGGACTTAATGGCTAACCTACAAAAAAGTTATGAGGCATTTTATTCAGAGTGCTAACAAAATTATGTAATTTAACTTACTTGTGGCATTTATAGACATAAACATGTTAATTTGACTTTTTTTCATTAGAGACCTCTTCTTTAGATTAATACAAGGCCAAAGTGGCCAATAAAGCTTAATAAATCACTGAATATTCAGTAGGTATTTTAATCAGCTAGACACATTTTGATTGAACTAGAACAATGGCAGGCTGAAGCCTAGGTATTTAAATTAGCAAGTTCTAGTCTGATAATTATTCATGTTTCTAGATTCATGCCCATCATACAAGGTAAATGCTGAAAATATTTAAAGTTGTATATCATTATGTAAACAATCTCCTGTACCTTTACTTTTTACAAATACAAACTAGCTTAAGTTATAGCTAAAATTCAACAGGTTTTGATTCACATTCCATGGGAAAAAGTAGGCAGCAGTTCCTGACACTGTGGCTCAGGGACCCCTGCGGGGAAACCTGAGACTTTCAGGGGATCTATGAGATCAAAACTTTTCATAATACAGACATTATTATTTGTCTTTTTCACTGTCCCCTCCTGAGTGTGCAATGGAACATTCCAGATGCTAGAGTGACAGCCTCACTCGGACTCAGGAGATGCCTGCCTGCGTGTACAGTACTCGTATGTTTTAAATTTGTTTTAACTCCTAATATGTAAATATCAATAAATATAATCACCTTAAGTAAGAGCTGTTTGTGGGCTTCAATTTTTAAGACTGCAAAGAGGTCCTGAGAACAGAAACTTTGAAAATTTCTATACTAGTTTTTCAAACACTACTATTTGAAGACAGAAGCAGCCAAAGTCAAAGAGCATAATTTTCCTTAGGGAGCACATGTAACAAAAACAGATGGTGAAGACTCTGCTGATAATTTCAGTTTCAGAGACTACACTACGACTACAGAACTAATGTTACCTAACAAAAAAAAAAACCCGCCAACCACATAATCCTGTAATCACAAGCCAAAAAACAAAACCAAAAAAGAAACGATTTCAAAGTGAATAGAGATAGTGAATCTTGTATCCTTAGGGCAGAGAATTTCCCTTGGCACATCTAAGTTTTTGGTTTTATGCAACAACCGCTTTACTTGGGTAATAGCTAAAAAATCGATTAAAAAAAAAAAAAACACTGAACAGACCATGAATGAATGACGAGTAATATTTCTTCTTAATGTCTGCTCCTGGATCCCCAAACTCTTTCTCAGCATACCCACGTTCTTCCACATCCCTTTCTGGTTCTGTGTCAAACTCAATGCTCTTCCCTTCTCACTGCTGCAAAAACTCAGACTACAAATAAGAAGGCCCCCTTTCTCAAGGAGACAGTAATCAACTTCCTATTTCCTGTGTATTAATTCACCAAGGTTAAAGGACAAATTTAAAAAGAGGGTATTATTCTGAATCACTGCTACATATGCAATCAAACTAGAGAACTACTTTCTTGATTAGAAAAATATACAAGTGGACGCCCACTGCCATGGCGACTCTGCTGCGCCCTGTCCTGCGCCGGCTCCGCGGGGTCCATGGGCTTCCCGGCCTCCTGCGGCTTGCGGCAGAAATGCCTCTCCGGGCCAGGAGCGACGGCGCCGGCGCCGGCCCGCTGTACTCGCACCACATCCCCACCTCCCCGCTGCAGAAAGCGCTGCTGGCCGCCGGCTCCGCGGCAATGGCGCTCTATGACCCCTACCGCCACGACATGGTCGCAGTTCTAGGGGAGACCACAGGACACCGCACCCTGAAGGTCCTCAGGGACCAGATGAGGAGGGATCCAGAGGGTGCCCAGATCCTGCAGGAGCGTCCCCGCATTTCGACGTCCACCCTCAGAGCCTGCCAGAAGGCTCCCTGGGTCGCGAGTATCTCCGTTTCCTGGATGTGAATAGGGTCTCCCCAGACACCCGAGCACCCACCCGCTTCGTGGATGAGGAGGAGCTAGCGTATGTGATTCAGCGATACCGGGAGGTGCACGACATGCTTCACACTCTGCTGGGGATGCCCACCAACATCCTGGGGGAGATCGTGGTGAAATGGTTTGAGGCTGTCCAGACTGGCCTGCCCATGTGCATCCTGGGTGCTCTCTTTGGACCGATCCAACTCAGTGCTCAGAGCCTGCAAGTGCTGGTCTCGGAGTTGATCCCATGGGCCGTTCAGAACGGGCGCACAGCCCCATGTGTCTTCAACCTGTACTATGAGCGGCGCTGGGAGCAGTCCCTGAGGGCTCTACGGGAGGAGCTGGGCATTACGGCACCACCCGTGCATATCCAGGGCTTGGCCTGAGTTTCTGAGCCAGCGGGGCCTGGCCTACTTCCCCCATCTACTGCTTCCCTTGGGGGCAGAGGGCTCCCTTGACTACCTTTGTTCCTCTTCTTTGAACACTGACCCTTGGACAACATTTATCATAATTTGTTATAGCCACTGCTGAGTGGCCTTGAGGACGAACCCCACAGGGAGCAAGCAGTACAGAGGCACTCCCAGGGGGACCAGCCGCTGTCCAAGGAGAACCATGCGTGAACAGTATCAGTCGTCTGGGCTCATGCTGGGATGTTGCAGCACTCCTGTTGCGACTCCTTCCAACCAGCCAGGTTTGCTGGGGGCCAGGCTGGGTGTCCTCACAGAAGTGAGTGCTATACCCAATTCCAAAAGCCCGAGAAGAGAGAAGCGGAGGGGGAGGCGAGTGTGTGAATAAAGGCTCCCATCAGGTCAAAAAAAAAAAAAAAAAAAAAAAAAAAGAGTTGGAAAAATATACAAGTAAGTATAATATATCTGTATCATTTAGAGGGGCAGAGGGGAGGAAAAAAAATCTGTATCACTTAAAAATCACCTTCTCATTAAGCATGACTTAGCCTGATTTACAATATCAGAGAAGCGCAGTAAGTTCAGCATTGCTTTTCTGTAAATCTTGCTAAATACTGACAGTGCTAATACTAACCAGTATTAATATATTAACACTAAGATTTAATATAAATCTTGCTAAATACTGACAGTGCTTATATATATATACACACACACACACTGTTTTTTTTTTTTTTTTTGAGAAGAGTCTCGCACTGTCACCCAGGCTGGAATGCAGTGGTGCAATCTCCACTCACTGCAAGCTCCATCTCCCTGGTTCACGCCATTCTCCTGCCTTAGCCTCCCAAGTAGCTGGGACTACAGACGCCCCCCACCACGCCCGACTAATTTTTTGTATTTTTCTGGTAGAGACGGGGTTTCACCGTGTTAGCCAGGATGGTCTCGATCTCCTGACCCTGTGATCCGCCTGCCTCGGCCTCCCAAAGTGCTGGTATTACAGGCGTGAGCCACTGCGCCCGGCCTGACAGTGCTAATACATTAATACTAACCAGGATGGCTAATGCCATAATTATCAGCACTGGAAGATGAAGCAGCGCTGGAATTTCCTTCATGAGTGCTTTAATGAATTCCCCAGTTCCTTTTCCAATGTGCTTCAATGGCTCCGTTACAAATGTGGTGAATGTAACTGCAAGTGCCTAAAACAAGAGAGAAAAGCAACTTAATTTTCTCCTCACAGGGCTAAGGTACAGAATGAATCAAAATTCATTGTGCACTGAGGCTGAAAGTATGTTACATAAATTAAAATGCTGTTGTGCCATTTTTAATGTGAAAAATCACTGTACAATAGTATTTTTTGTTGGACAAAGGCTTATTTGCAAAATGACTCAAACACTAAATTTCTTTAAAATACAAGGGATTTCTGACTTACTTTAAGGAATTTTTACAAAATATATGCGATACCTTTGTTGGTGGGACCAACCAAATAGGGTTGACTAGTAAGAGCTCATAGTATTTTTGGCATGGGTCATCCTTATAGGTCCATGAACTTCTAAACCATTCTGTTTAGAGAAACAGACAAAACACTGATCATTTCTTTTAATGTTGCATTTCATTCCCAAACAAGACACTACTTTGGTTTTGACCCTCTGACCACCCACCAATCAGTTTTAAATTATCTTGTTTTAAGTAGACTCCCTGTAATGCTGATTTTTTAATTTTTCATCTTATGTCCAAAATCATGTTTTAAAAATCCATTCAAATTATACATGTTTTATGCAGATAAAAAAATTGTATTTTATAAAAATGTCTAAAAGGTAAACACTTTAAAAGCAATGCTTCACAAACACAAATGAGTACAGGTAAAATGGGAAGTCAAAATAAGACTGGTGGATTGTATCAAAGTCAATATCCTGACTCTGATATTGTACTATTAAAGCTGTGCAAGATGTTACCATTGGAGGAAAATGGGGAAAGGGTACACCGGCCCTCTCTGTAGTATTTCTTACTATGTGAATCCACAATTACCTCAGTAAATTTTTTATTTAAAAAGTCAGTTCTGGCTGGGCGCGGTGGCTCAAGCCTGTAATCCCAACACTTTGGGAGGCCGAGATGGGCAGATCACGAGGTCAGGAGATCGAGACCATCCTGGCTAGCATGGTGAAACCCTGTCTCTACTTAAAAATACAAAAAACTAGCCGGGCGAGGTGGCGGGCGCCTGTAGTCCCAGCTACTCGGGAGGCTGAGGCAGGAGAATGGTGTAAACCCGGGAGGCGGAGCTTGCAGTGAGCTGAGATCCGGCCACTGCACTCCAGCCTGGGTGACAGAGCCAGACTCCGTCTCAAAAAAAAAAAAAAAAAAAAACAGTTCTTTATGGAGTTTACAAAATAAAGTAGAATATTAGTTCTAATTTTTCCAAATCAGGCTTATATACATTGGCAAACTAGCCCGAGCTACAGGACACATTTCACTGTCCACTGAAGCCATGAATTGGTTTAGTTCCCACAACTTTTTAAGAAACATTTATTTTGGAACCCATCTGCAGAATTCTGTATCAGTCATGGACTTGCATTTACAAAATGCCTTAGAACACTATTAAACCATCCCTATTGCTAGATATACACAACCAAAGGTAGTGAACATTCATGAGAATGTTTATAAAATGTGAAAGAATTAAAAAACTAATCTTTCCCAGAGTTTAAAAAAAAAGTAAAGCTATAACATAAAATTTCACAAGTCAATATAAGGCCATTAAATTTAAGATGGATATTAATTCATATATACACTCATTCACTTGATTCACTTGTTTAATAAACTCCTATTGAGAATATGCCAGACACTGTGCAAAGGACGAGATGAACAAAAGCGAGCATAGGATCCTTCACACAGTCTTATGAAGGAAGACAGATAATATCAGAGCCAACATATATACAACTTCTATTCCTTCCCTGTGACTTTAGATGAGCATAAAAGTCACTCGTTTTAAACCTCAAATGCTTCTTGCATGTTCTTCTGATATTAAAGATTCAGTCATGGAAAGCCTCCTCTGTTATTTCATCATTCTCTTTGTTCTATGTTCTCTCATTCTCAGAATTTCTATCAAAATAAGGACAAGTGCACAAACACCTTACCCCAGATACTTCCAGTCCAGTCCATCTTCTCGGCACACACATTGTTTAATGGCTCCATCTTGGCGACTTCAGCCTGATGCTGTGCAAAAGCTAGCTGACCAAAACCAAAAGGGAACCAGGAGAGGCCGTTACCATGAAGGTTAGGCCTACACATCCAAAAGACCTTCATTCAAAGAGTGTCTTTACCATGCATCCAAACCAGACTGTTATAAAAGTTTTAATTTAAAAAAATCATATTATTACTATTTTTTCTCTTTTTTTCCTGAGACGGAGTCTCGCTCTGTGGCCCAGGCTGGTGTGCAGTGGCACAATCTCTACTCACTGCAACCACTACTTCCCAGGTTCAAGCAATTCTCCTGCCTCAGCTTCCCGAGTAGCTGGGATTAAAGGTGCCCGCCACCATGCCCAGCTAATTTTTGTGTTTTTAGTAGAGACGGGGTTTCATCATGTTAGCCAGGCTGGTCTCAAACTCCTGACCTCAAGTGATCCACCCACCTCAGCCTCCCAAAGTGATTATAGGAAATTATATTATATTATAGGAGGGATTATAGGAAAACATATTATTTGTAAAGAGTAGCTATTTCCAGTTCATGGAAAAGTACAGCCTTAATGCAACAAGTAAGCATAAAGTACTAACTACAATTGCCTTCTCTGTAAGTAATTATAATGAAAAAGGAAAACTTTACTAAAAATAATGTTTTTAAAAATTAGTTCAGCCGGGCATGATGGCAAGGGCCTGGAGTCCCAGATACTCAGGAGGCTGAAGTAGGAGAATCGCTTGAACCCAGGAGGTAGAAGTTGCACTGAGCCGAGATTTCGCTACTGCACTCCAGCCTGGGGGACAGAGTGAGACGGTCTCAAAAACAACAACAACAACAACTAGTTCTAGCCATACAAATTAAATGACTACTTCTCATTTTCTTTTACAGTTGATGATATCCTATTTTGCACTGGATAATTTCCAGCACAATGACCAATATATAATCATTGAGGTGACAATACTCAACAAACTTTCCTTCCACATAGAATCTGTGTTTAATTTGTAAATAATTAGTTCTAAATACTATAATACTTAGGGCAAAAGGTTAAAGAAATGTCATAATGCTTTAACCAGATGAAGTCATTGAAGTCATTGGCTACTTGACTTACTCTGCTAGACAGATCTAAAATTTTCTTTCAATGATTATGCTATGTTGATGGGAACAGTAGTGGTCCTTTCAAATTTCTATATACAGTATGATCCCAACTTTGAAAGATAATTAAAATCTAGAAAAAACTAGAAAGAAATACCTCAAACTACTGACAGATTTTCTCTAGGTGATAAAATTATAGGTGATTTTTAAAATTAATTTCTTTTTATCTGTCTTTTCTACATTCTCTGCCATGAACATAACACTTACTCAAAAAATAAGCTAATTTTTAAAAGATAGTATTCTGGTATCATTTCTAGCAAAGAATAGAATGACATACCCTAAATTACCCACATGAGAATTTTTAAATGTATCCACCTAGCTTTATTCTTTTTTTTCCTTCCTTTTTTCGAGAAGGACCTCACTCTGTGGCCGAGGCTGGAGTGCAGGGGCACGATCTCACTGCAACCTCCCAGGTTCAAGCAATTCTCCTGCCTCAGCCTGCTGAGTAGCTGGGACTACAGGCACACGCCGTCAGGCCCGGCTAATTTTTGTATTTTTAGTAAGGATGGGGTTTCACCATGTTGGCCCGGCTAGTCTTGAACTCCTGACCAAGTGATCTGCCCACCTCAGCCTCCCAAAGTGCTGGGATTACAGGCATTAGCCACCATGCCCAACCCACCTAGCTTTATTCTGACTTACATGCCCAAATGTTAACAGTAACTGGGTTATGAAAATTAGGACTGAACTTTTTTACCCACTAACTGGTCAAGGAATCAAAAAACAGTCAGCTAAGAATTGTCCATTTAATTCCTCCCCAGCGTAGACCACCTCTAGTCACTGCCTCCAACCTACATCCAAGGCAAGATTGCTTTCAACAGATTAGTCTTCTTTCATTGTGAATAAATGTGTTAAAATTGTAAAACCCTTCATCCATGTAATACCTTATATAAATACATCCAATTCCATCCCAGACTGAACAGAAAGCTGATGATTAAAACACGTCTCAACTGAGTGTACCAGCGTACATATGTCCACAGCTCGGTAGCCACTAAAACCACGATGCAGAGCAGACAAAGAAGTACCTTAAAACAGAGAGAAGCAGAAATCAGCCACCAAAAACACTCAGGGCAGCTAAAAAGAACTGGACTCAAATGCACAAAATCATTTCTACA